ACTAAACTCCCCTACAAGCAGCTGGATTGGCTACTCAACGGCTAGAAAGGCAAGTCCCGATTTGGCATTTTGGTACCACACAATTTATCTGACCCTAGCCCAGCTTGCTGAGGGGTCTGGCAGGACCCATCGACATCCCAGAGAGCAACGCTCCATGCTGGCGCTCCCTCTCCAGCTTCAGCGGCCACAAAGGTCGTCTCTCCCTGTCCCAGCCTCCTGTCTGACCCGCCAGCCCAAAGAGCAGCCCAGCAGCGGGAGTCCGGCCACGTGAAAGGTTTCTCACTGCCCCCAGGAGAGAGTAGGTCCTGGGCCAGTGCCCGCCTGGGGCTGTCCAGGACAGAGGAGCAGAAGTGGGGCCGGTACCACCCTGCTGGGATGATGTCCAAGCAAACGCTCTGCCTCTGGAGCAGAGTCACCTTTGCATGCATTAAAAGCAGTGCAAGGCTTTTTTATTGTCACCTCCTCCTCAATTACAGGGCAAAGGCCTGGACTGGTTCCTTTTCAGACAGAGCTGAAAAGCAGCTGGGTGACGGTGTGCAGGGAAACCTGTACACACTTGAAACATGCTGCACCCTCCTCGCTGCCTATCACAGTGGTGGAGATTCCTGCCTCCAGACAGAAATCAAGGGTAATCTTTGAACTTCACCTAGAGATCAGACCAAACTGATTCCAGGAGTTTCAGAGGCCTCTGCTGAGATCAGAGCCCAACACACAATACAAACCCTGGCTGTGACAGGCTTTCAGTCTGAACAGATGTGACAGGCATAAAAGACTGGGGAAGGGAAATGAGTGGTTTTGCTCCAGCATAGTTTCTGCTGGTCCAATCCTACCATGTTTGAACAAAATCAGGGACAGGGAAAGGGTTGATTTCCTACTCAGTCTGGCTTCTCTGATTCTCCAATAACAGAGTTATTGCAAAGCTTCAAATTCAAAAGTCTGAGCAGCATGCATAGCTCAGCAGACAGCTGGCATGGGGGAAACACTACAGCCCGGGGTGGCTCCAGCAGCCCTGCTTTCAGGTACTTTCCTAAACACGCTACAGGAGCCAGGGCAGAAACATTTGAAACAGGCGCCTCCAGTTTTGCCCTGGGAAAGCAGACAGATGAACTTGTTGATGCATTTTTTTTGGCCGCTTGGCTGCAAACTGCAAGAGTTGGGAGGGGACAGGCTAAGCCAGAGCACACCAGAGCCTGGCAAGCCTGGTCATTTCAGCTCCCATCCCAACCTCAGCACATACAGCATCCCAGCACCTGGGGCCAGGGACTGCTGCCTTCAGCAGTGGTCATTAGTCAGCAGCACAAACCCTATTGGAGCATTAGACATTCCCCCTCCACGAGCTATTTTGATGCCTATCTCTGAAACTACCTGTTTGCTTCTACTAGGAAAGAACAAAAAGCCCCAAACCCAAGAGCGCTCAAATTAGCCTGGCCTGGAGCAGCGATTGTTTTTCTTGCTAAAATAGGAGCAAGGACTGCGTGAGCGACCGAAAGCTGTGGCCAGGAGGTAAATATTAGTGTGCTAAAATAACTGTGGTTTGTTTTGTGGGCTGCAACACATCTCCATCTGGTATGCTGATACCCGATACGTACAAATGCAGCTTTTCACGTCCTTCCCCCTTCTCCCCATAGGCTGAAAAACAAAGACACCCTCGGACAAGTTCATGGGGTCTGAATCGGCCTTCTCAAGGTGGCTGGGTACAGCCCAGAGACCCTCTGAGCAGTCTCAGCAGCTCTGGAGCCTTATTCACTACTGCACAAACCACCCAGATGAAAGAGATTAGGAAGATCTGGGAGCCTGAAGGTCAAGACCATGAGAGTCACCCCAAGGGCCAGATGTCTCCTTTGAGCAGCCGACAGGAACAATGTGGCCAGCATCCCTCTCTGGTCACCAAGTGCCATTCGAGAGCTTGCTCAGCAAGCAGCGTTTTACTGAACAGAGCCTCCTCCTGCCCTCAGGACACACTGTTTCCCTGTTGAGGGACAGGCAGGCTGGGGTGTGGAGAGAGGAAAGCTGCTACAGAGGCAAAGCCACAGCCCTGCAACCTGATTGCAGCCTGCTCCCTCCAGTCCCTCTCGCCTGGTCCCATCCCTCCTCAGCCATAACTCCTGCTGGATGTCGCAAGGCTGGTGCTGCAAGCTTTGCCAAGCACCATTTCAGAGCAATTGGCCAAACCACAGCAAGAGCCATCATGCTGGGGTGAAGAGGATGGACATGCTGGCTCATTAACCTTTCTTGTTGGCTTAGGCATGGAGCTGGCCCACCTCTCCAGGGGAAGGCTTGTCTCTGTCTAGACCAGGCAACTGCCCAGGGCAGTCCTCTGACGTGGCTGACAAAGCTCAGGACAACGTCGGTGGCCTGGCTGGATGTCCATCCAGAGCAAGGTGCCACCTGAAGGAGACTCTTGAGTCTGCCTGGTCCCCAAAAGCTCATTTGGGGAAGCATGGCACTCATGCTATGGGTTCGGAGCAGGCCAGCTCTCTCCTCAGGCCCTGGCACGGCTTCCTTGGGACTCAGCTCCCTGCCTCCTGGTGTACAATGCAGGAACTGTCTCTTACGCACCTGGAAATGCTCCAGTCAGGGTTTGCTCATCTGCTTTTTCTCTAGCTTCTGACTTCACCCTGTCGCTCTGCCAAGTGCCATTTGGGCTCGTAGCGATGACTCCCACCCGAGCTGGCAGTCTCTGCCCTGTGCACCAGCAGGAGGGCTAGCGACAACCACAAGCTCCTCTCAGGGGCCGTCCCAGGCACATATGTAGCCTACGTGACATTCACTTGTTTAGCTTTTAGCCAGTTTCCTAAGGAGATGGGCCCTATGCGGTTGTGCTGTGCGTGGGTGGGTGCGTGTCCCTCCCAGTTACAGATGTGGCTGTTAGGCAGCCGGGTGCAGAGCGACTGCTTTTCTCCCCAGGCTCAGAGCTCCCAAACTTACTGGCCCCGTTCAACCCTGACAGTGAAGAGAGTGGAGAGCTCTGAAGCACTTACAAGTTTCAAGGAAGTCTGACAGCTGGGGTGAGGATGGAGGGCATCCTCATACTTTTGGCAGAAGGGGGACTGCAGGAGGAGCTCACAGCTTCTTAGATGCCAGAGAAACCTCACGGAAGAGATGTGTTACAAAAACACTAGCCACAGGAGAAGTTTCAGCTGGAGAGCCCAGCTTATTAGACACCAGAGAACCCAACAAGGAGCTGCAGCACCACAGCGAGGCAGGCTTCGCTGGTTCCTTTCAGGAAGGAATTGCTAGTTCAGAGACAAGCTGGGTCTGATTTTAGAAGGGAGGGAGTGGAAGCACCTTTCTGGGTCACGGAGTCCCAGGCTCTGCTAACACAGGCAACATAGCAGCCTGCCGCATTGTAAGCATTGCTGGCTCCGTGCTAGCAGAGCAATGAGGCAGAAGGCATTGCATTGGACCTGATGAATCCAGAGGGGAGAAAGAGGGAATAGATGTTAGGAGGGGAAGGGGAACAGAAAATGTGATGGAGCCCCATGTTGCGGGAGGGCCCTCAGTCATCTAGGGAGGGCAAGCAGGTAGCCAGAGTCAAAGCCAGGCATGGGAAGGGAGGAATACATCATGAGGAGCAACAGAGGATGCAGACTAGGGAAACTGGAGAAACTCCAACATTCCCCAGCACAGGCTCTTGGCAGGACCAGCACACTGAATAACCAGCAGAAACTGTGCAGGCAGAAAACACCCCCAAAGAAAATCCACGGGGACATTTCAGTAACCCCCTCACGAGCACATCAGGAACTGGTCCATCTGATGTCGCAAGGAGTAGGAGGCAAAGCAGAAAGCAAGCACGTACCTTAAGCACAAAACACAGTGTGCTGGGCTCTCCTGCCAGAGCCCACATCCAGAGCAAACCGCTTCCCTCCGGGCACGGATTCAGCAGTTGGCTCAGAGGCCTTGGCTTGGAATTGGCTTAGAGAACTGGCCGCATCTGCCACGTTTCTCAGCTCACTGAGCTTCAGGTTAATCTCAGCCCAGATTTCTCTTTTATCCTCTCATACAACCTCTATACATTTTTTCAATTAGGTCCTCTTTTAAGCTCCAGAGCGCATTTCTCGGAAGGGCTGCTTTGTTTCTCCTGCCACCATGAGCTCCTGCTCTGCCTCACGCTGCAGTAGCATCATGGCTGTGAAGGCTGGCTGCAAAGACTGCGATATCCCTGGCAGTGCTCCCTCCAGCATCCAGCAGAGGTGCCGCCACGGTACAACCCAGTGTGGTGCTAGCTGGTGTTCGAGAGGTCTGTTCTTGGCCGCACAGTCTGTTCCCTGCGGAAACACACTGTATAAAAGAGCACTGTGCACTTGCTGCAGAAGGCTTTGCTGAACTGTCTTGGGGGTAGCATGGGAGGAACACCTATTTTATGGCACCTTTTAGAGGATTTTTTTTTAGATTTTAGCCTGCTGTAGAGATCTGCAACACAACTTTCCACAGGCTGGAAGTATATATGAGTCGTGACTCCCTGAACTCCATTACAGCCACAAAGAGCTCGAGAGGTATGCAAAGCTAGGGTATGAAAACAAACCCTTTGCTGCACACACTGGCAGCTGCATTCCCCCAGACCCCAAGACTCCCCCTCCAAGCTCAGCAAGGCCAGGGCTCTGGTGCCGACTGTCCAAACCTCTGCTTTGGGAAACAGTTCCCAAACTCCTTCACGTGGTACCCCAAAAAACTTACCCAGTGTTTCAACAACAGTGGGGTTTGGGCCTCTGAAGAGTGCCTAGGCAGAAAGGAAGATGAGTACATTTGGACAAGAGGGATTTAGTCTGTACCAAATTAAGAAATAAAAGCAGTTGCTGAGTTGCCGGAGACACTAGCGCGCATCTGTCCCTGCGGTACACAGAAGGCTGATGGCTGGGTAATCACTGCAGTGGGAAAGGTCTCATCTAGGCACATGCTGTTCAATTATCCACTGGAGAATTGTGGCTCTGACAAACCAGTTTCAGAGGTGAAGTGGATTGTGCCTGTCAATTGGAACCGCGTAATGGCTTTATATTAGCCTGTGAGTGCACCCTTTCCACCCGCAGCCCTGCCTCCTTCATCAGGGCTATGGAGATTGGCAAAGTGCCAAGCTCATCGCTAGAAACTCTGCAAAATAAAGGCCATCTTGTGGCAGTCATTGCACAGCCACACAGAAAAGTGGACCGATTTCACCTTTCACACGAACCTATTATTGGAAACCCCAGACCACAGCCAGCAATCTGTCTTAGTCCACTCTGATGATACACCTGCAACCTTTCACAGAGTCTCCGATAAAAATCAAAGCATAAGGCGTACTTCGGGCTGAGAAGGCTAGGTTAAAACCTGGTCTAAAAGTGACAGTAAAAATCAATCAAGTCCTCAGTGGATACATTAGCACAGTGAAATCACTGCCAACACCAGAAGGCCTGATTGCAGGGTGACTTGAAAGGAAAACAAGGAGTTTGCGGTGCAGGATGCATTGGCAAAGGAGCATGCAGGAACCCCAGTCTGGAGTAACGGAGCACAGGCAGAACAGAAAGGAAGCAGCTTGCGCAGTGTCTTCTGTCCAACCCACACCACCTCATTAGAGTTCCTACAGGCAATCATATGTGACTTGAGCACGTTCAGCTCTGCTCCAGGAGCTCAATTAAAACATAAACTAGAAGCCCAGCTCACAAATGCAGGTTAAGCATATTTCCCCTTGAGAACGTTTTCCAAGCTGCAGTCAATCGCAAGTCCTCCCCTGCTAACAGTCTCTGCCATTAACATTTGCTTGCTCTTTCCGTATTGGTTTTGCCCTCCATCTGAGCATCTCAAGACACTTTACAAATTGCAGCAGAGCAGTGCAGCGACTAGGCCTCTAGCCAGGGAGTAAAGAGACCCCAGTTTCCTTCCTGCATCTGTCACTGTCACCTCCCTCTGCATGCATCTTTGCCACTTAGATAAGAAATTCTTGGGGGCGGGGGATCATCTCTCATTGTGTGTCTATGCAGCCTCAAGCAGAGCAGGGCTGGACCACAGTAGTGATGAACATCTGTCTGCCTCTAGCTCCAGCTGCGTCGAGTGAAGAGGTTTTGGCTCTTCCATCCCGCCAGCTGAACTGCTCATGAGCTTCCTACAGCCACTGCTCATGTGCTTCCTACAGCCATGTCAGTTCTAATGAGCTGAAACAGGTTACACAGTAGCTCCTTGCTCATGCTGACACAGGCTATGGGAACAGCCCATGAGCAGCTCAGCTGGCAGACTGGAGGGGGCAGGGGGGCGCAGCGGATGAGTGACAGAACAAAAGGCAGAAGGCAGACTGTTTCAATTACTGCCTGGGTGAAGGAAGAAAGAAGAAAATCCTTATACACAAACCCAACCGTGAGCTCAGAGAGAATACTGCATCCAGTACTTTCCCCAGCAGTGAATCTCTCTCTTTTTAGCATGCCGGGAAACAGTCGACCAAATGCACCCCTCATGAGAGGGCACTGGCTCTTTCCATGCATCTATTCTTCCCACTCTTAGCACTGCACAAGCCAGCAGGTACATCACTGGGATCACTTCCACCAGGGGTCTAGTCCCAACCAGCCACTCAATGTCCTAGCCATTCCGGGTTGTTCCCATTTCTCAGTGAAAATAATGCATACAGGCCCCAAAGACACTCTGCTCCTCAGCTCCCTTCTGGGTGTCTCAAGCTGGATATGGAGTTTTTGACATGGGTATCAAAAGACTGAGGATGCCCTGGGCCAGAGAGTTGCAGGCAAGTTCTGCCTCTGGGCATGCCTTGTGGTGACTTGCATCTCAGATCAGCCTGGTCCTTTATTTCAAACAAAACACGCATGCCCAAGCCTGTTCGTTCCCCCCCACTGTAACTAAAGGATTCAAGGTCGGCACTCATCCAGATCCAGCAAAGAATAACATACACCCTCACATTCAAAAATTCAAGCACTTTGTGCTCATATTTTCAGTTAGTTGCGGGGTCTATTTATCACTGCTTTTTTGAAACAATGGGGTTGAGAGTGGTAAAAAGAACCCCACACCTTTCTAGAAGGGTTTTGCATTTCCAAGTGGTGTAGGTCCTGAGGATGAGGTAAAGGAAAAGAGTTAGGAGTTAGAGGCCTGCGCAGGCAAACACCAACTCCAGATCTTGGTTGGGGGGCGGGGGAGAAATTAACTCTGCATGTTTTTAATTGCTAACAAAACAAAAGAGTGAGACACATATATGTTCCCAGTGCTACCTTCCCGGTTATGAGGAGTCCTCTAATGGAGATGCAGACTCCTTTCCCAGGCTTTCTTCCCCCCAAAATTTTAAAAGGAGTTACCTTCAGTTCCTCTAATTAATCCGGTTGATCCCCAAGCCAGGAAACCAGCAGCTGCTCCCACTGGAAAGTTTGGTACATCAGCAGGAAAAGAGAATACGGCCTCCTCGGAGCCCAGCAGCTTCCTCATTCTTTTACATGGGCCGCTCTGGCTCCAGGGTTGCCTTGGCTTTATGAAATTGCTGTCTTTTGTCCAGCCTTCAACGCAAATAAGACAGGTGAGATAAGATCTGAGCACTGCAGTGCTTGTCCTTTTTGTTTAAAGCCAGCCCTTGCCTTTACTGGTGGCAAAACTCGATGGATCTCGCTGAAAAGCAAAAGCAAACAGAAGAAGATAAAAAAAATGGAAATATAAAGCATTAGAAGCTGCTCCCCTTCCGGCAACTTGTCTCAGTGGTTAGTCACTGGGAGCATTCATCATTTCCATCAGATTACAGCCTGATGATACACATTGTGCTTTGCCTTAATTTTATTTTTTAATTTAAAAAAATTGTTCTCTCCAAATCATTTATCATTTTAGTAAGCCTTAAGAGGGAAAGGGGGGTGGTATGTGCAAGGACAGATTAGACTGTATTAACATATATACGATCAAAGCTTGATTATATGACATCTAGTTACAGAGAATGAGAAATACATTTCCTGTGGCTCAGAAGACATACCAGCTTATATTTCAGTGTTGGTTAATAACCTCACATAACTAATGCAACATGTCTTGCTAAGATAACATCTGTCTCTGGAAACAACAGATTAGACTTCATGAGATGTTGGTACAAAGTAAGACAACAGTCGTCTTCCTGCAATACGTGTGATTTGTAGACTTTACTCTGAACATACGCTGCCAGAACATCGCTGTTCCTAGGAAATTTTACGGATGCGTAGCAAAACAGACTCTGAAATATGTTTATCTCACTGCTTGTGAGCTAGATGCGAGTTTTCATTCAACAAGTGAAAACATTTTCCTTTCCTGCAAGTGTACCTGACTCATGCTTAAGAAAGGCTATTTGTATTGTCTTCCTTTAGAACAGGAGGGCCAGTCCCTTTTGTAATCCCCATCATACCTTATTACTGTATAGCAGGGAGTCAAACAGAACCATTCAGTTCAAACCATTATCTCTCTCTTCCTTGGACAGGGAACCAAACCTCAGACATAATGGTTGTGTTGAATGTGAACTGCAGTTAGTGCCAAACCGGGCTGAACTGAACATCTCGTTCTATTTGCTATTTCACAATACGATTTTAGCCTTATCCTGTCTCTCACTAAGGTCAAGAGTAAAATTTGTGCTTATTTAAATAGAAGCGGAGGTAGACCAAGAAGTTTCGACAATCCTATCCCTCATTTTTTAAAATAAGGACACTAAGAAAAAAGTAGGAACTTGGAGACAGGTGGATCATTCGGTGGACATATGGATCTTCACTGTAAAAAGATTTTTGGGTAGGAGTAAGAAACCTAGAGAAACGGTCAAAGGTCGAGGCTACGTTAATTTGACAAACATCCAATAGAAGCAAGACAACAGGACTCATTAAGAACTGAGCATACCTAGTCCCAGACTGATGTCCCAGGCACGTGCATCAGACACAAGGTAACCAGAGCGGGCAGGCTGTCTATCTGTCCGACCCTTTTTTCTCCTCTCCATCGAAAATTCCACAAAAGATCTGACTGACGTTCCCCACATCCCTGCATTACAGCGGTGGGGGACACGCTACAACAACAGTGGATTAGCTAAAGCATTTTCCTTCCCTTGAAACCGTTACTGGTAAAAAGTGTTGAATGATATAAAATTAATTCTTCCAAGTTCATTAGTTTCACCAGGTTAAGTAGTTACAGTAATGTAGTGAAAAGAAAGAGCAGGTAAGATGCACTGCCCTTTGGTGTACCTGATTAAAAAAAACACATATAAAAATAGTGTAAAAGGAAATGATGCTATAAAGCTTTCTCATTGACCAGTAAACTTATTCTTAGAAACCAACATTGATTAGAAAGATAGGCAGAAGCTTAAGTAGAGTGTTTCTACACTCCTTGATCCAACATACTTGGATCATTTGCTTTCAACTCAGAGACACGTTTTAGGCCTGCACAAATGGACACCATATGAATCTGCTGAAAATTAGATCTGTTTAAAAAGACTGCATAAAAGTACTATGGTATTTCACTCTCCTCTTGGTAGTCAAACTCTTTCGGAAGTTTCATTCAAAATCATTAACGTGCTTCCAGTTCTTTTTACAAACCAATAGGCGAGTATTTGTTTTTACCTTGGCTGTAACTTTTTCAGGCAATAACTGTGGTTGTACGTCCACGGAGAGCAGGAATCACTGCAGCATTTAGGCATATTGCTTTAACACATTATCTGTAGCTGAGTCATACTAAACTGCTGCAAAATGGGTACCACATAAGCATGGTGCATCATCTTCAGCAGTTCACCTTTTACTACACTGATACAATACCATTTTCAAGTGAGGCCCAAAGACCAGTTAACCTTGGATTTTGTTTCTGTATTTGACCTTAAAATACCTCATCTGAGGACAAGATTGACTTTTCGAAAGATGTCTTCATAGATCTTCAAAAATTACTCTAAATATTACAAAAGCTTAGTTAAAACTTGTTAATACGAACAAAGGGGAGAAGCAGAAGTAGTTCTGGTTTTGAAGGTTATAGCAAAATTCACTACAACTGGGACTGCATCCACTGGGGCAGCTGTAACTGACAGTTTGTAGCTCTTTCATGGAATCTCATTAAAAAGATTTGACTGCTTAAGGACACATCACTCTTTGCAATGTGACATGCCACTCTATTTTTAATCAGTCGGCTTTCCACACAAGGTACTGAATATTACTCTATTTACATTCAAAAATATCATTTTTGTATCTTCAGTACATAGTGGAAATGCCCATAAGTTAGTCAGTAGAAGTCTCTCTAACACAGGTGGAGGACAGCCTTGTTGATCTCTGGGTTTGTCCAGTCATTCCGGATATCATCCAAGTGATTATCGAAATCTACAAGCGTCTCGTAGGACTTGCTGTCCAAGAGAGATGCAGCGATTCTCTGAGCTTCGGACCAATCTTCACAAAAATCACTAGAACGTAAAATAACTAGGAATTAATAGTCATCACAGAAAACCTCCATCCTCTCCTCCACTCTGGAAACAGGCCATGCAGTCTCCGGCGTGGTCATGGCGAAGGAGAGGCACATACTGCCTGGCTTTAAAAGCTGGCTGGCTGTTCTCTCTCAGTACGATGAAAAGCTTAAAGAACAACTCTAAAAGCGCTGTCAGTTGCGCCCACCGCCCTTACAATATCATTCAGCTACAACGAAAGTTTTGCCCTTATAGCTATACACTTTGGACCAGGCAACCTCTCTTGCTCCCTACTCAAATACATGTATACTCTCACGTTTACTCACACGTGTGGGTCTTTGCACCTCCACTTGTTCTCATGAAGTTCATACACATGAATGGCAGGTTCTATGCACTCCATCGTAAACTTGGTGTTATCAACCTAGTGAGCAACAGAAAAACACTGTCTTATTCTTCCCCCCAGATAAAGAGATTTAATTTTAAAAAGTCAGTTTTTTAAAAAAAGAGCACCTTACACTAACTCATCCACTGCTTTAGCTTCAAATGAGCAAATTTTCACGTCTAAACTACCAACATTATTTGCAACTGCAGCAAGAAGGCAAAGCACCGTTTGTTTCATGTAAGACATGAACTTAAATCATAGAAGGGCTCTGAACTAATAAATACACCACCTTCACTTAAGTCTTATAAGCACAGAAAGTCTCCACTTCCTTGGTGACGAAGGAGAGCTAACAGCAGTCACTTCATAGACTTATTAACAACTTCACTGACTAAAAGTGATTGTTTCTCTTCCCCAGAGCATTTGAAGGGAAAGGGCAAATTAGTCACTTCACTGTCAGAAAGTCCAGAGAATGGCATTTACATGGTTAGTCCAATGCCACGGTCACAATATCAACAAAAGGAAAGGAAATAGTTTACCATTATGAGCGCTGTATCATTAAAGCCTTCTGCAATTCTGGAGGCCACCTTTTCAGCAACTTGGTTTGGACTGCAGAAAAAGGTTAAAAAAAAATAAATTGTTATTTGAACCGTGACACTTCAGCTCAAACCAGCAGGAAATACGCTTAAAGAGATGTGAAAATTACACTATGCACTTACAAACAGGAACAAGATATCAAGCTGCGCTTGATTTAAGTTAGAAGGCCAAGAAAACCCCAGTTCCTCTCTTCAGCACACAATCTGAATCTTAGCTATGCTTAAGCAATGCATTTTTGAGCAGCAAAACGCTTACTGCAGACTTTATGTGGAATGAACATCTTGCGGCCTCCTCCTTCTCCCACCAGACCAAGAACAGCTACCTTCACCCCGACAGGCAGTTTAAACACAAGTCATCTGCATTTGTTCCCCAGTCTGCATTTGAACTCACTCACTGCCCAGCTTCTCTACAAAAAGTCAGATCATCTTTTAATGGAAAAGCTTACATTAAGCTTCAAAGATGACAATCTCTACATGGAGCCAGAGTTATGCTCAGAAATTAGGTTTAAATTTAAAAACAAACAAGCCCATGATATTCCTTCAATCTGCAAATGGAATAGTCATTTCCCAAGGAAGCTTCAAACTGCATCTCCTCCTTTAAACTGTCTCCAGCAGTTTTACTTCCTCTGCAAGGTAATGACAATGCTCTTGCCCCCTTGGATATCCAAGCAATCACAAGTGTTACCTCAAAAACATACTTGAGGTTGAAGGATATGCCTCAGCAAAATAACTGGAATATAGTTATACACCTGTATAGTACATCTATAGGAAGTACATCTGTACCGGGGGGGTTTCCAACAGCACGGCTACGTGTCAGTTTGATTACTTTGCAGCGGATTTCCTATCACTCAGAGCATAGTGCTGTAACTTCGCCTTTTTACCTGCAAAATATTTTGTGGAATTTTGCTTTTAAAAGAGCACTTTGGTCTGACAATGATAACTAATCAGAATCACTAGGGCAAAGTTTCTGAAAAATAAAAGAACTGGACAATTATATCTCCTTTTCAAAAACAAAGCTTTCTAATCTCCACTTTTTTGCAAGTGTTATTTGTTCATTATGACTACTCCTGGGGCAAAAAATAAGCAAAAAGTAGGATCTCCGCTTGACTGGCACCATCTTCCATTTCATGACAGTCCCTTTTCTACATAAGAAATGAAGCATTTTATTCAGGAACAATTACGTAATGTAATAAGAATCAGATCACTTCTGAAAAACTTTCCAAAAACTATTTGAAGTCATTAATTAGAGTTTACAAAATAGCTACTGCACAAGCAAAATCGCTTGCAATTTCTGGCTATTTCCCTGATAACTACAATTAAATTGGCTGGCAGTCATCCAAATACTGGCCTTTTATAGTACCCACTAAAGAAGAGACCTTCAGGAAGGAGTGAGGTTTCTGCACCTGAATAAAAGCCATACCCGCCAGCACCATGAAGACGATGTGAAACCCCACGACAGTTGCCAAAGTTAATCAACATCCACAATTTATGTCAATGATTTTTGTTGGCAGAGTACAAAGTACAGCATAAAAGAGCAAACAGAAGGAAATATTGCACCAACACACCTGGCGTCTTTCACGCGTTCATTTGCCTGGTAATATCCAGCTATCACGTAGCTATTCTCTTTGCACCAAGAGTCAATCTGAAAAAGTAATTAGAACAATTGAGCCCAGGAAGAAAAAAAATTACACCACCACACAAAACCATGGAAATTCTCTCTTGCAAATGAAACGGGAGCTGAAATCTTACAATATCTTTTAAAAATATATGTATATACCATATACAATTGGAAAACTGGAACAGAGACAATTAAGCATTGGGTTAATGTTTCCTACCTTTCTGCAAACCAAAGAAAAGAATAAGAAGTTATCCCAGTCAAAGCACGGCCTAAATGTAAGTGACAGGATTTGTGAAGCACTCGGGCCATGCTATCTGGGAAAGGATTCCAGGTTTTACTTATTATTTCACTACTTTCAGTCACTGCTCTTTTGACAGAGAAAAATTAGACAGCGTTCAGCATGTGGATCTGTGACTACACTGCCATTTCAAAAGAAAGTTTGCTGACTCTTTTTTAGATGAAACGTTGCTAGAAGGTTAAGGTGTAAGTGTCAATTGCTAGTTAAGGTAAATGAAGTCTTAAGTGAAAAGTAAACGTGTGGCAGAAAAAAAGTTCATCCCTTTTACCATTTTTCAATCCACTCTATTACCAAAGGCTTTTACAATAAAATTGTTTTTCTTTGAAAGTTCACCTGCAAGGGTAATCAATCCCTGGAACAACTTAGGACATGATGTAGTGAAATTTTCAGTCTTTAAAGGCTGTAAATCAAAACTGAACATCCTTCTAAAAATACTCTCCAGCTCAATCACAAATGATAAGAGCTTGATGAAAGAATTATTGGCTTATATTCTCCAATCTTTGCTATAGAGGCAGCCAGACCGGGCAGTTCCTTCTTGCTTTAGCATCAGTATACAAATGCTTAAATATATGCACGCATTTATATAGAATCTACAAAAGCTTATGTTCAAAAAAATTATATGCAATCTACAAGAGTTTGTGTATTTTTAATGTTTGTATATAAACAAAAGTTTATACACAATCTACATAAGTTTATGTCGTTTTTTTCAAGTACAGTTTCAGCACGTGTACATTTCACTGCTCTCTCTGCTTTAGGCTAGACCCTCTTTGTCCTACTGAGTCTCTCTTGCTTTGATTAAAAAAAAAAAAGTGTGAGTGTGTGAGAGAGCGAGAGAGCGAGAGATGTTTTTGCTTATAATTAAGGGTATCAGGTCAGAATAATACAGAGCCTTGAAAAACAGAAATGAAGAAAGCAGCTAGTACTTCTAGTACTTCTGGGCTGTCCCCAGAGAGCATGCGTTAAAAAAACAAAAACAAAAACAAAAACACTCCTACAATGGTTCTATTAAAAGGGACTCCAAAATATATCTATGATGATCTGTGTCATCCTGTAAATCAAATCAATCTCGTATTTAGCAAAAATTATAGCATTAAGCTGCATAAACAAAAAGCCATGTGAATAATCCCTTATCTACAGGGGATGACATAGATTTATATGATAAAACAGCTATGTAGTCCTGCTGTAGCTGGGGTCCAACTGCTGTTTCAAGTATAAATCCATTTTGAGAGCTTAGGACTATGGTTTTAATTGTTAGTGGGTTGAAAGCTTGGCATTAAGGCCTAGACACTGTTAAAAGAAAAAAAAAAGTCAATTTAAAAATTAAAAACCTTAGTCCTAAATTAATTTTTGCTGCCTCTGAAAATAGTCTAAAAAAAAGTAAGATTTTCAAGACTGTAAAAAGTCTAAAAAACCAAACCAAACCAACAAAAAAAATCCCACAAACAAAAAAAAACCTTTCTGGGTTTACCGCTGCGCTTCCAGCTGCAACTTCCAAGCAATCTCTAGCGGCAGCAACACCACTGCAGGTAGCCCTAGCATCAATTAGCCAACAATATTTTTAGTCACGTTACCGTTCAGCCCTGATTGAGGCAAGTCAACAGGAGAAAAAGTGTACCTAGCTTCTACAGTGCTTGTCACCCCCTGGAAAATCAAGGTGATTTACTAAAGGTAAAAAAAGTCAGCAGTCAAGGGAGCCAGCGAAAATAAAAATGACACCAGCTGAAGATCTGTCCTTTGATCCACTTCCACTGCTGCAACTAGTGGAGCTGCAGCCACAGAACAACAGTCGCAGAAGGTTTTGTAAGAGCTGCGAGAGGAGAACGACCATAGGCTACTGCCGCTCACTGCTGCTCCCAAGGTGGGGAGCAAGACATACAAAAGCAGGGGGAAAGCACTTTTAGTTTTTAGAGGAGAAAATGCGGTTGTAAAACCACATCAATTAGCTGAGGAATTCAAAGGCACAGACAGCATATGAAACAACTCACTTTTTCTTTAATGACTCAGTTTTTAAAAGGGATTTCAAACTGACAAGCCAAAGTGGAAATTAAATACACATACGTAAGCTCTTTCTTCCACAGCTACAAGCCTTCAAGAACTGCTATGTAGTTAATAAAAACTAGTTTTAGAGTTTGTTTTACCTAGACTGCTAAAGCGCTGCTTGCAATTTTCAGAAGTTACCATGTGGACAAGTCACAAGACTACCAATCCCATTTGATGCTCTGGGAAAACTCAGAACTGAGAAGGAGGAGATCAAACTCGCAGTCTGGTTCTAAAAAACTTTCACATATATTAAAAACCAATTCAGTTTTCAGGAAACCATGACTGACTTGAGTAAAAATCAGCAATAATTGAACTGGAATAGAAAGAGATCTCATCACAATTTTGCCAAAACTTCAAAATCTTTTAGAAACCAAGGTGCTTAGTTAAAAATATCAAATATCACCTGTGTGAATTTCGGTGATTATTCAAGTGTTACCTTGCACAGAACAGACAAGAGAGCCCTCCTTTGAAACGTTGCAACAATAAAATTTAACTTTCATAGCTGCTGTGCCAATATTTATTCCCACCTTCGCCTTTGTTTAAATAAAGCAGCAGAGCAAAAGGCCTTAGGGGCTTCCTAAAAACTATATTTTAAAGCTGCCAAGTCATAGGAGTCATCAGTCAAAACAGATTGCAAACTACAATACATTTTAGTAAGTCTCAATTAACGTGCGAAATGCCAGAGGTTTCCTCTCTAACTTTTTGGATCAAAAACTAAGAGGAAAAAAAAGTGCATGCCCAATTGTTTGGTTCCAAAATGATTTCAGTTTTTGGTTGCTGCAGATGTTGCAAGATGTTTCAGATGTTGTAAGAAATGGGATTTATTTCCCAATAATCTGCCCCCGTAACGAGACCTACACTGAAGGCCCAAAATTTAGAAAAATTCTTCCATGGCAAAGAAAAGGTTTATCTACTGTGAATACTGGCTGAATCTCCTGGGTCCTACTGTATTATTCTGAAATCTGTGTAAAATTATGCACGCTGCAGAGTTCCAGGATAGGGACTTAATCTTTAACAAGCTGATTGTGCTTCCCCACATAGTGCTCATCATAAAACAAACAAACAATTCCCACACAACCCTCTACACGCCCCCTTGCCCCCATTACTTTTCCGCTGGGCTCTGACTATAGCTCCTTCCCTCTCCCTGTGTGGTAAGGAGGGCCTATAAGAAAACGGTTTCTATGTACATGACAGAAATCCCCTTTGTAGGTACCTGCTTGCAGCACTAAATACAGTCTGAAGCACCAAGGAACCATCCCAGTCATCATAGTGCTACAGGGACACCTACCCTTTTTCAGGGAAAACAGGGGTAGAAATTTCGCCCTGTGACTCTTACTTTTGGATCACTACTCAGTATTACCAATCCTTTAGAAAGCATCTAATCCTAATTTAAGACAAGCCCTACACATACTTTAAATATATCATATGTGCTATTGTATACTTCATTAGCAACTTCCACTTATTCATTTCAGGAAGAGGAAAGTATAGGAAAAATGAATTATTCTGGTTCAAAACGGTAAAGACAAACCCTGCCTACATTAAAGAAATTGTTATCAACATTATTACATTTTCTCATGCTTCTACATGCTCCACAGCGCCATGGCAAAGTGATACAGTCAGGGCTCAGACTCACCCCCCGTTCCTATGCCTTAAAGTCTCCACGGCATCATCTCAACTGGAAAAAATAGGTAGATATTTAGAAGTAAGTATTTTTGATGAATCAATCCGTTCAACTGAGGGAAACGTTAGGCCCAGAAATCTACAAGAGCCAGACACTACATATTTTTTACAGATATCAAAAAGGTATGGATTTTCCACTGCTAACAACCACAAGTCTTGAAAAGGATATGAAAGTCTGCAGCTCCAATCATACATGGATCTCAAATTAGTAGCAGCTGTGTTTACACTGAAGGAATGAAAAGTACTTCTTTGCCTCTAGACTTCATGTGCCACAGGCCCACCCCAACTCCCTGTAAGATAAAATCCAGGCATGACCCATTCTGTGTGTGTTCTGGTTTAGACAAGGGGAATCTCCAGAAACCCAGGCTGGAGGGAGTCGCGGCATAACCCAGCAGGCCCCCCTAGTCTTCATGACTAGGAGGTCGAGACTCAAGACTGCAACAGGGAAGCACTGGCCCTCTAGCACAGACATCGCTCTCACCCAATCTATACGACAATACGGGGTAAAACAGATTATCCTACAACAACTCACCGCGAGGCTCTTCTGTGGCAGTGGGCAAGCTGCAGCATACTGTAATGGAGCAACCCTGGCAAAACCTGGCTATCCCAGCAGATTAACTAACCTCAGTGAAGCAATCATTTTGCCCACAGGAGGAAACAGAGATCAACAACGAAGTTATAATACATCAAACGGGATTTCAAAGTCAAGCCAACAACTGCAGTTTAAGAAGACTTAGTTTTTTTTCCAGTTTAGGCTAAAAGCTTCAGAAAGAGGGCAAAATGCATGAGAATAAATTAGGAGCTACATACTTTGATGCATCTGTACACTCTTTGATAGAAGCATGTTCTCTCCTAATTAGCAAGTAGTGCTTTCAAGGGGCTTAAGGTAAACCAGGAAAAGCCCTTTCTGCTGTAGAATAAGGACATTCATTCTGGGAGCTCCACTGGGATAATGACACCGACAGAACTGGCAGCTTCTCCACATAGATAAAATCGGGCAAAGCTACACACGCAAAAGCAAACACGCCCTACAGCTTTCCCACTGCTTCACCAGGGGAAAGCCGTGCCTGGGACGGGCCTCGGGACTTTCCCCTCTTTAGAAACACCCGGCTCCCCCGCAGCCTTTGGCACGGCAGGGAGCCCCGGCGCCCCCAGCCCGGGCCTTACCA